GGACACAAGATCATCTATGAGACAGGTACTCATCACAATCTCTGAACCTATGAAGAATTTGATGGTTTCTTTTTCGTATTGGTGGATGCTGAATTATACTCCTTTGCTGATATTCTTATGCTTAGAGGGTTCTTGCTCGAAGAAGATCAAATTTTCAGGGAGACCAGTTCCCTTTGGCAACTGAGGCAGCCAAAAAGTCAGCAGTTGCTCCTATTCGCAATAGGCCTTTCAATCGAAGCCGAGCAGTGACTGTAAATAAACAGAGGTATGTTTAAACTGTGAACTGTGAAGTTAATATATGATTAAGCTAGTCGGTTATTAGTATCCTGGTTTGCTGCGCATGTCAAATTCTGAGCAATTTAACCCTCATTTGATGCAGGTAAATTGTGGTCCTATTTATTGTTGATGAATTTGCCAGGTGTCTCTCCTTTATGCACTTTAAAAGCTTGCTGATAGTTTGGTCGGGTGATGTTCAAGCTACAATCCTTGGAAGTTATATACTCTAAACCATGTTGTTAGTTTGGTTGGGGTTTCGTTCACGCTACAATATTTGGATGTTTGTTCAAGTTTCAAATGATGATTATTTTCCATCAGAACATTGCATCTAAAATAAAATGTGTCAGTGGACTTAAGTTTGTTCTGCATGTTTTGAGTTTGAGTCCTCTTTTAAGTTGGTATTGGACACCCGAGACTTGGGAAATTTTAAGGTGGATTAAAGTGCATCTGTGAGAGCTGGCATAGAGAAAAGAATGTGTTACAATATATTGTTTTACCTAGCTGCAATATTGCCCTTGGAGTATGAGATGAATGAGATCTTCCCCGTAATGGCAATAAGTGTGTATTTTGACTATTTTCTGGAGGTTTGTTTGGTAGCACTAGCATCATGGGGTATACTATGTCTCGTAAGTTTGTGGTTTTGGAATGGTTGCTTTCATATGAACAGACACCCTTAGAGAAGCTTGTCCCAGAATAACTCATTAGTTCTTTGAAAGTTGATCATCATTGATTTCCTTTTGAGTCACATTGAAGTATGTCCTGGTGAAAGCTTCTGTTCGAAGTAACTCAACTATTTGGCATGTACTTGTCTTTGAATTTCCTCTGGGATATGGATGATCAATTCTTTCTGATTTTATTTCCTCTGCCCAACCTCCAAAATTGTTGTTGATAAGAAGTTTGGAAAGGCATGGAGGCATTCATCTGTTGATAAGATGACACATGGCATTCATCTGCTTCCTTTCAGCACTTGCGAGGCTGCTGTGCATTTTTAGTTTTGCCTTCTACCACCTTAAACAATATTACTTATATTATTCATGGTTGGCGCGGTACCATTCATTTTGAAATGGTTGTTCCGGGACATGCAAGTGTTGATACTTCTCTTTCCAGGGGTTTGTATCCAACTGTGTGCAATAATCTAGACTAACCGGGGTTAACACTCCGGAAATTAAAAATGCCAAAATAGGAACAAGGATGGATATTGTTAGAAATGCCTTATGTCATAGAGTTGATCCACTAAAGTCTTGAGCAGCGGTGTAGGATCAGATCCCAAAGATAGTAAGTATTTTCTTTCTTATGAAAGAAAGTCTTCTTCAGCAACAAGAAGAAGGAAAAGAATTGAATAGAGGAACTCCTGAGCATTTTGCACTGTTTTGGAGGATAGATATTGCATGTTCTGCATATTAGGTTGTTTTACCAGAAGTTTTTAGGTTCGTAGTTGAGCTTTGCGAAGTTCGAAACTTTTACTTGCAACTCTAGTGAAGCAATTCTGGAAATCTTGGTGAAGCTTTACTTTTTGCTGAAGTTAGAAGTACTCTTGGATATTTGACTGATGATGAGATCCCAAGGATGTTATTTCTCCCACATCAATGTTCTGATAGTTCTACTTTGGACTTTGTTTCCTTCTGGTGGAAGATGAGCTTATGAAGTTCTGTTTCTGGGTGCCGCTTTTGTTTCTAAGGTTTGGCTAGTTGAGAACTTTTAATTAGCAGACTGATGGTAAGTTGGAAATATACATGAACTTGCTTATAGTGCTCTGCCACCACACATTGATCCTGCAACTTGGGGCTGCTCACTCTTTTAATAAGAAATCTGTGGATAAGCACTTCTCCTTACAGTTGCTCCAATTCTTTTTTTCCTTTTGCAGGTTCGGGGCTCCTTCGGTTCAGAGGGGTGCTGCAAATGGTGGCCGGTTTATTATTAAGGTAATTGAGGGTCCAACTAGAATTGATATAGCTGTTCTTAAGCTTATAAAGGTCCCCGCTTTTCTGTTCTTCCCACATTGAAATTTGAAAGCTTGGATTTGAGTCAAACTCCGCAAGGACCATATCACTGGAGGTGTCTCCATTTTTTGATAGTCTGATTTGTCACTTTTTAAAAGCATTGCCTTCTTGCTGCTGTCGGTTCTGTAGATCAGCTTGTATGCATCTTCTAAGGTTTGAAGAAATGTAACAGTTTGTGTTCTCTGTGTGTAGCAACAAAGGCGGGAGGTCAAACCAGTGTCAAAGCAGAGGCCTCAGACATTAGATTCTCTATTTGCAAATATGAAGGAACAGAGGATGAAGATGCATTCTCAGCAGAATAACGCTCCAAGGAGAAATGGAGGTGGGCAACAAATAGTGCCATGGGCTAGAGGTCGTTTTGGGAAGTGATGACAGATCATGTGCAGCTGATTCCATGTGCTATGGGCTAGTGTCGTTTTGGGATACAGGTTACCGTGCAGCTAATGCTGTGCGCTGTTGCAGATTAGTCCTTTGGGTCCGTGTTGTGAAGTGATAGCAGAGCTCTCTGCACCTGATCATTGTGGTTCTTTTTGTGTTCTTATCTTTTCTTGCGGAACGGCGAAAACTGTTTGGAACGTGTTGTGATTTGATGCAGATGCGCTTTATAACTATCAATATAAAAGACTTGTATAGCATTTCTGGGTTTTCGTTCGATTCTTAAGTTTCTTTATGTTTGATTCGTAAGGTCTTATATCTTTGTATTATTTGGTAGGAAGCATATATGATAAGAGTTGTCCCGAACCACGGACAAGGCATTACTAGTTTCTTTTTGGCACTATGCATTTGTCTTTAAATAGGTTGAATCCAACAGAAGTTTGAGTCTGAATCATTGAGATCTCAACTTAATTAAATGCACTTCTTTCTTTCAAAAGTATTTATCTTTAAATAGGTTTGAATTAGGGGTGTACATGGACCGGGTTGGTTCGGTTTTTATCAAAACCAAACCAAACCAATTATATCGGTTTGGATTGGTTCGGTTTTGTCGAGTTTTCGGGTTTTTTTGTTATATGTATATTATTTCAATTTTACTTTATTAAAATTATAGATAAAGCTTTGATAAGTGAATATATGTTTAGTAAATATGGAAAAAATTGATAAACATATGATCTATTAAAATATTCTAATGGGAGAATTTTTTTACTAACACATGATAGTTATTTTCTTAGTCGTCTAACAATAATTTTTTGCTAATTTACTCTTTCAAGGTCAATACATGAGATGATTCCAAATATTTCTATATTTTCTAAAGAAAAATCACTATAAAGTCTTAAAAATATAAATAAAATTTATATATTTATATGTCGGTTTGGTTCGGGTTTTATTACTTAATACCAAATCAAGTCAAACCAAAGTTTTTTAATTGATTTGAACACCCCTAGTTTGAATCTATCAAATCTTGTATAGACTTTTACTTTCAGGGACTTAAGTATTTACCATCACCACTAGCTTTCAAAATATGGTTACATCAAAGAAATAATTTAACAACGTTAAACAAAGTAATATTTTTTCTTTAATATTTTTTACGTAGAGTATTTATTAATAATTTATTTGAATTTTATATTGTTCAAATTTTAAATAAAGGCAACAACAACAACACAGTCGAATTTTACAAGTGAGGTCTGGGAAGAGTAGTGTGTACAATATCTTAATTATACAATGTTTAGTTCTAGATACAATATCTTAATTATACAAGGTTTGGCATTGAGTAAAAAAACCTGAACCAAATCGACATATAAATATATAAATTTTATTTATATTTTTAAGACTTTATAGTGAATTTTCTTTAGAAAATGTAGAAATATTTGAGATCCTCTCATGTATTAACCTTAAAAGCGTAAATTAACGAAAAATTATTGTTAGGCGACTAAGAAAATAACTATCATGTGTTACTAAAAAAATTCTCCCATTAGAATATTTTAATAGATCATATGTTTGCCAATTTTTTTCCATATTTACTAAACATATATTCACTTATCAAAGCTTTATCTATTATTTTAACAAAGTACGATTGAAATAATATTCATGTAATAAAAAAACCCGAAAACCCGAAAAACTCGACAAAACCGAACCAATCCAAACCGATATAGTTGGTTTGGTTTGATTTTGATAACAACCGAACCAACCCGATCCATGTACCCCCTAATTGCATGCACGCCCCAATACTTGATTTGACAAAGCCTTGAGATTCTTTAAGTTTTAAAATAAATTTTACATATTTTAAGACAATTTAAAAAAGCATTATAAGTCTTACTTGTTAATAGTTTAAAATATGAAAAAATATTTAAGATAAGCATGTCAATTAAAAACATTCTTTGACTCCCCAATAATATTATTTGGTGTAGATTGTTTTCACTATTAACTATTTTGCTGGACAACGGCAATAACCTACCAACGAAATGATTTCTCATGCCCACTTACAATTTAAATAGAACAAATAAATACAACAACAACAACAACGACCCAGTATAATCCCACAAGTGGGGTCTGGGGAGGGTAATATGTACGCAGACTTTACCCCTACCCCGAAGGGTAGAGAGGCAAATAGAACAAATAAATACAACAACAACAACAACGACCCAGTATAATCCCACAAGTGGGGTCTGGGGAGGGTAATATGTACGCAGACTTTACCCCTACCCCGAAGGGTAGAGAGGCAAATAGAACAAATAAATCTCATACTATATTTTATTTATATTTTTCAGATTTTATTTTATAGTGATCGTCTATGAAAAAGGTCATATAACTAAAATAACATTTATAATGAACTACAAAATCAGATAAATTTTCAAGAATACAATGTTAGGGAAACATTTTTCATTTTTCAGATAAATAGCAACTGCATTTTCCTTAATTATATATAACTCAGAAATCCTTGTAAATCTCATCATTTTTTTCTATATTCAGCACAAAACTAGGAAATGCAGCTGTGATATCCCTGCAAAATAAAATAAAAAACTCATTCTTTTAATTCAGTAAAATCAGCATAAATTTTGATAAATTAGCACTACTCCATTAAATTTGAAAAAAGAATTAAAGAAACCATAAAATTACTTGAGATATGGAATTGTCATGTTCTTCAATAAAGATGGATTTAGAGCTGCAAAATTATTCCATTCTTCTATATCTATCTTTCCATCCCCTTTTGAATCTGCCTCTTCCAATGTCTTCATGGCCCAAAAAAATTAGATTAAAAATATGAGTTAGTTAGCCTTAAATTCTACATTTTTCGGATTTTTATTGCATTTCTTTTATATATTGTTGGGGTTTTTGTGTGTTTGCTAGGAGCCGAGGGTGTATCGAAAACAACCTTTCTACCTGTACAAGGTAGGGGTACGGCTGTGTAGTGACTACCATCCCCCTCCCCAGATAGAGGCGGATTCAGAATTTAAACCTTATGGGTTCAGCTTTTAAGATTTTTAGCATTAAAACCATTATAATTTTGAAGTTATGAGTTCATATCTACTATTTATTCTAACTTTAATACATTTTACATATAAATTTATGCTCCGTGTCAAAAGTTATGGGTTCAATTGAACCCGTACTTATAGTGACATTCGCCTCTGTCCGCAGACTCCACTTGTGGGATTATACAGGGTTTGTTGTTGTTGTTGTTACGTTATTCGGACTCTTCAAAAATGCTATTGGGTGCTCGTTAGAAGCGGTGCATCTTTGGATGATCTAACACAAGTACGATAATATTATTGAAAAGTCCGAGCAACATAATTTAAATGTAAGATAATTTAGTGACCATCCAAGTAATTAGTTGCATATAAATAGTACCTTGTCGACAATATCTTCAACTATATCATCAGTGAGTATTAATTCTGACTCATATAATAGTGCTAAAATCAGCTCCTTCACCTGAACTCAGCTTAAATTCAAGGAGAAAAAACAGAAAATTATCTTAGTGAAATAAGGGCTTATTTAGCTTCTATTATGAAAAATTAACTTAAATAGCTGCCCACTTAACTGCTTTAATTTAATATAGTTGACGGATCTATAAAATACATATAATCCTTGTATAGTATGTCAATAACTATGTATAATCAGTGATTAATTTATGTATACCGACTAGAAAAAGTAACAATGAATATGACACGTTATTTGCGTAAAGCCTTCTATTAAAGGTCATATAATGCTAACTTCACACGTGGTCATCAAATTTTACTCACTATAATAATAGTCACAAACTACTTTTTTGTAATTACCAGTATAATAGTATATTCATACAATTATTTTTTCCATATTAAAGTGACTAAACTTTATCCATATATTAGAAAAATCACAACACTTTATTCACTATAATATTAACGGTAAAGCCACCATGCTGTGTACATTTGTCGTTATAGTGGATAAAATTTAGTGACTTTACTGTTATAGTCGATAAAAGTCAGACACGTTGATGTGATAAAAGTAATTTTTTGAAGTTACCGTGGTAGTAGAAAGTTTAGTGTTTAATAAAATAGTGGGTAAAATTCAATATTTTAAGGTGATTAAAGAAATAATTTTATGACTTTACTGTTATAGTGTCACAGAAGTGGTGCAAATTTACCTCTTCACGGCCAATGAAGCCTCTTTGCCATAAGTCATACAGTTTAAATGCAACTGCAGCATCAGAAACCACAGGGTTCAATGCAACAGTTGTAGCAATTTACGTTGCTCGGACCTTCCAAAAATATTGTCGTGCACGTGCCGAATTCTTTATGTATTTTTGGAGGATTCAGCACACACCCGATGATATTTCTAAAGAGTCCGAGCAACATAGGTAGCATCGTCTGTTTGATTTCATTGCCTTAAAAACACCTAATTGGAATTTCATACCAGCAATTTTCTGTGCTTGAGAAGCATCAGGATGGAAGATGCTTAGTGTACGAATAAACTCGCCAAAGTCTATTAGCCCATCATTGTTGGAGTCAAACAACTTGAACATCTATATATAACAGACATTACTGTCAAACCAAGGTTTAAGAAAATGTACATAATGAAAAAATGGCCATTGCCGGATTTTTCGGGTTCAACTGAATCTATTGCTTTCAGTTCAGATTATGTGTACCAAAAAAATTATAATATATTATATAATAAGATCATACTCATGCTGAAACAGTGGCAGAATAAGGAATTCTGGAAAGGGGATTCTACTACAAGAATAACACTTTTGGTATGTTGGATAAACAAAAGTAATCTTGGATAAAAATTTAGTACCGTATTGTCCCTTGTTTGGTTACTAATCATCAGACAAATAATCTCAGGATAAAAATAGTATCGGAATAATTTATAACTGCAAGAGGATGGAATAATAATCCCAAGATAAAGCAGTAAAATTGATAATCCGAGGATTAATATGACATGCCAAACAATCAATAAGAAATAATACCATGATAATTAATTCCAGCATAATTAAACCCAATATAACTAATTCTAATATAACTAATCCCAGTATAACTTGTCTTCAAACCAAACGACTATTAATTTTTGAACCCCTTTACCACTACCCTAGACGTTTCTCTTATGTCAAGGGAATTGAACATTAGTATATATATACAAAAAAAATAAAATATTTTTACTCTGTTCACGAAATATAATTTTTTTAATAAAATGGATTTAATTCCCTTCCCAAAAGGTGGCTCGACACATTTTTTTGCATTCACTAATTTTAAATTCTGAATTCGCCACTGCTGCAGCGTAAATATGTACATGCTGAAGTATAGAGCTAAAAAGAAGTTAACTAACCCTGTCTGAAAATAGAGATTGCTTCCTGCTATCTCTGAACAATCCAAGCTGGAACTCTTCCTGTAACAAACTCAATTATATTAAATCATCAAATATAATAAAGGAAAATTTTTAAGAAAGAAAGAAATGATGGAATTTACTTTGCTAATAAACCCATCTTTGCAAATAGAACAACTTAATTTTCTGAAGAGTTCATTTAAGGCCTTGACATCTTCCAAAGAAACTGAAATCACAAAAAATAGAAGTGAGTGGTAAGGGAAAAAGGGCAGCCCGGTGCACTAAGCTTTCGCTATGCGCGGAGTCCGAAGGAGGGCCGGACCACAATGGTCTATTATACACAGCTTTGCCCTGCATTTTATGCAAGAGGATGTTTCCACAGTTTGAACCCGTGACCTCCTGGTCACATGGCAACAACTTTACCAGTTACTCCAAGGCTCCCCTTCCGAGTGTTAGGGGAAGAAAATGAAAAAATAAAAAGGAAAACCCTATACGTACAATGTGTCTGAGCTGCGAGTACAACATGATCTTCATATATCCTTTCTTGCTTTCTTAAAGCACAGCCCATTTTATAGTAATATTTTTGTGTTGTTATGCTCTCACATTTATCTGTTTTGTGTAGGCTATATATAAAGAGGGGTTTGATTGTATAGATGGAAAGGGAGCTTTAGAGCAACGATGAAGTTAGCTCCGTGTATTCTATAGGTCACATGTTCAAGCCGTAAAAGCAGTCACTAATGCTTGCATTAGGGTAGGCTGTCTACATCATACCCCTTGAGTTGCGGTCCTTTCTCGGACACTGCATGAACGCAGAATACCTTGTGCAGCGGATTTGATTGCATGGATAAAAAGCATAGCCAAACGTTCATAAGCCCTTTACCTTACTTTCTTGACCATAGAAAGGTAACAAATGAGCAGGTTGAGTTAAATTTGAGTACGTCAAAAATGGTCAAATTAATAAGCGAGGTATGACCCCAACTAGTTTGAGACTAATATAAGGTGTAATTATTTTTTAGTGGAAAAAATTGTGGGAGTGACTTAGTAAAATGTACAAAAAATATACATGGGCGAAGCAATAGCTAACGTAAAATTATACTGGATATATAGGTTAATGTTACTTCTTCTACATATATACTAAATCTTGAACGTCCTTAGAGAAATTCAGCTACTGGCCCTATAATTAAGAGCAAAGTGTACATTCTATTAAAGGTATTTAGAGATTTCAACAATAACAACAACAACAACCCAGTATAATCCCACATGTCGGGTCTGCGGAGAGTAGTGTTTATGCAAACCTTACCCCTGCCCCGAAAATAGGCTGTTTCCGAAAGACCCTCGACACAAAAATTTTAGAGATTTCAACAATAACAACAACAACAACCCAGTATAATCCCACGTGTGGGGTCTGCGGAGAGTAGTGTATACGCAAACCTTACCCCTGCCTCGGAAATAAGCTGTTTCCGAAAGACCCTCGACACAAAATTTTTAGAGATTTCAAATGGTACATTATATTCTTTAGGTTATCATTTTCATTCAGGTAATTTCCTTTATTCTTTAATGTTGTTCAGCTAATGTGGAACCAGGTGCTGTTGCTTTTATAATGTGCGGTTGTAAGGAACAGAATTGTTCACATTCACCAAATTGGTTGTACATAAGTAATTCCCAATGTTCCAAATTCATGAATTATTTTCTCAAGAATCGGTAAAGTATTAAAGCTCAAAGGTCAGTGCTACAATAGCAATAATTACGCTTCAATTTCAAATAAGTTGAAGTCGGTTGTATTAATTGTCATTGGTCATATCGCTCAACAAATATCATTACTAAATGAAAATACGCAAACTAAGCCCCGTACCATCACTCTATTATTGCCATACTTGTTCCGCCGAATATGAGCTTTGATACCATTTGTTGGGCTAAACAAGCCCAAGGATACTGTACTCTTACATAATATAATATTGTCCGCTTAAACCAAACCCAACGATTTTTTCCAAACTTTACCTTCTTGATTGATAGATAGTGAGGCCTACGACTTGCTTCCTTATATTTGTTGAATTTAATTTCAGTCATTAATGTAGGACTTTTTTCTTTCAATAATTTCAGCCACTGATGTAGGACTTTCTTCGTACCCCCAACAATCGAAACATTTAAATTCTTACATAAAAGATTAGAAAATTAAAAGATGCAGGGAAAATAGAGATTTAAGCACCTTGAATTTTTGAAAAGCTAAAATGAGATAAGCAATAAATTCCAAAAGGATAATGACAACCATAAATTAGGCTAATGGTGGATGTAGCATATAATTAGCGGGTTCAAGTGAATTCAATATATATTTTCAATCGGAGTATAAATATATATGTGAAAAATCTCTAGAATTTTAAAATATTAATTATTTTAACCCCTAATTTTAGAAAGTATAATAAATATAATGATAAGTAGAACTAAAAAATTAATCCATCAAATTTAAATTTTAAATCCGCCCCTCCACCAAACATCTATTTTGACATAATCATTCATTTAATACTACGAGGTAAGGAGTGTACTAGCATTAAGTTATTGTCTTTCCTATCATCCATCTAAATAGAGATCTCTCTCGTTATCATTCATATAATCTTTGCATAAAATTTCAAATCCTACTTAGAATATATTCCTCCAATTAATTTTTCTAACTTATTTTTCGCCTTCTACCTATATTAAGCAAGAATATCTAGATCATAACCACTAGATTCGCCTAAAATAATATGTGCGCACCTTCTTTAGAAACTTGTCAGCTTAGAATCTTGCCAGTTCTGCTTGACCCGTCCTCCATCATTGGCATAATTTTATAAACCATAGCAACTCTCGTGGCAGAAGGTAGCGGCGTATGTAGCGTATATGTGATGGATTCAACTGAACCCATAATTTTTAATGCGGAACATAAATTTATGTATAAATTTTACTAAAATTGCAACAAATAGTAATTTGAACTCATAGCTTTAAAAGTATAATGAGTTCAATGCTAAATATCTTAAAGACTAAACCCATAGGATATAAATCCTGGATCCGCCTCTAGCAGAAGGGGAGCCTTGGCGTAACTGGTAAAGTTGCTGCCATGCGATCAGGAGGTCACGGGTTCGAGCCGTGGAAACAACCTCTTGTAGAAATGTAAGGTAAGACTGCGTACAATAGATCTTTGTGGCGCGACCCTTCCCCGGACTCCGCACATAGCGAGAGCTTAGTGCACCAGACTGCCTTTAGGAAATCTTATGACACATTCAAGATGACAAATTTCAATTTTTTTTTATTTAGTTCTTAAATTTCGTGCCTAATCAAACTATGCTACATAAATTAACACGGAGGGACAAATCTAACACAACTAATTCTTACATGAGATATTTCTGCTTCAGGAGTCTTCTGGTGGAATATACTTTAGTGACCAAACAATTTTTCCAAATTCAGTAACACACTTATGCTTATGATCTAACAGATCAGACCACTACAATAATGCTACAAAAAGGTAAGGTTATTATGTGGAGAATAAAGATGAAGATACTGGAATTTGTCAAAAAAAAAAAGGTCCAAAATTTGCTCCTCTACTATATGAAATTGCTCAATTGCCTACGACAACACTTTTGAACAATTCATACAAGAAAATAGATTTTCGGTGACGATATTTAGTGGCGACTAATGAAATCGCCACGAACTTATGCCCATTGGTGGCTATAAACCGGTTGCATGTGGCGTACACAGGATATTATATAAGCGGTGTCACAATTTGAAGAAGCGGACTAATGAACAAGTTACTATAATGATAAGCATTGTCATTTTTTATATCCATCCTCAATTTTTTTATTTATTTTTTATACATATATAGTAAAAAAATTTGACGAAGTGGTGTCCCATGATACTGCATCAAGGTGCATACGCCCTGTCGGTTGCCATGATAAGTAAGAGTCTTAGTGGCGACTTTCCAAGTCGCCACGTATAACTGCGATTAAAGGTGAAATTTCTTGTAGTGTACCGTTGCCGTTAGCAACTTGTTTCATTTTTATGTTTTGCTCTTTATTGTTAAATAAAATGTCTAAGGGTTCGAGTGTGTCATATGGGTCGATGTGGACTTGTCACGTACACGATATAGCCAGTTTTCAGACTGGTCATTCAAAAATAGTCAGCTTTACGAAGTCAATGAAAAATAGCTACTATTTTGCTGCAACAGAGATCGGTCCAGCATAATACACTGGAGTTCGGTGCACCTGTGTATGAACTCCAGCATATTATGCTGGACCGTTATACTTTGATGACTCACTGGAGGCTGGAGCACCGGTGCTCGAAACTCCAGTATATTATACTGGACAATTATACTTGCTGGAACTCCAGTATATTATGCTGGAGTTCTAGTGTACTTATACTGGAACTCCATCATATTATGCTGGAGTTCCAGCATACTTATCCTGGAACTCCAGTATAATATACTGACGTATTTTCTGGGTTTTGAACAGTGTTTTCGCTCATATTTATCTTTACATGAAAAATGGCTAAATTTCAATTACTTTTGAAATTGGGCTATTTTTGAACGACCAGTTGTGAATCTGTTTATTTTTGAATTTCTCCCCGTGGACTCCTTTGAATACAGGGAGACGTTTTTTCAAATGTTCGAAACCTGAAGTAAATTAATTTTTTCACTCAATTGTTTATACTATTATGTATTCTATTAGTTTTCACATTTCAATTGTTTGATCAAATGGCATGAACTAAAGTATAAGCCTATTAATTAATTGCTTTTGTTAATTAACTGTTGTTTAAAAGAGAATATTACAATGACAATTTTTTCTTTTTAAATCTTAATTAATGGGGTAGACACTTGCATGTACATTAATTAATTTAATTAACGTCTTTCAATTTTCAAAGAGAAAATGACACAGAGGTAGAGGTGTTCATGGTTCGGTTTGGATCGGCTTTTCCTAAAAAGAAACCAAACCAAGTAAGTCGGTTTTTCAAATATTAGAACCAAACCAAACCAATTAAGACAATTTTTTCTCGATTCGGTTTATGTCGATTTTTCGTTTTTTTCGGTTATTTGTCGATTTTTTTCTTAAATATAAGACATACACTACCAAACACACATTTCGGTGACCACATTTTCAACGTAACACTATCAAATCAATTGCCCTTTGAGAAATTTATTATTTACCAAGATATATTGATGATAATTGAATCAAATAGTGATGAATAATTTAAGAACTCAATTAAAAATATATTATTTTTAACATGAAATAGATTCTTACACTTAACAAAAGAAAACTACTAATTAAACTAGAATGTATAGATAAAGAACTATACTAAAAATGCAAACGATTAATATTTACTATAAAAAATTTAAAACTTTGTATAAAAGTATACATATATATATGTGTAGTAATAAATTTAAAATAGCTACTCCTATATTCGGTTTGGTTCGTTTTTTTTTAATTAAAACCAAACCAAACCAAATTTGATCGGTTTTTAAATTTCAAAACCAAAACCAAATCAAACAAAAACGTATTGATTCTTTTGATCGGTCTGGTTTGGTTTTTAATTTGGTTCGGGTTTTAGAGGGAATCTACACTACTTCAAAAGGTGCATTCAATCTCACCTAAACCATACAGTACTTTTACTACTATTAAACTTTTAAATCTGACATAATAGTCCTTTTTTCAATTGAGGCCTAAATTTGTTATCAACTGGAATTCAAGATTTAAATTCTATGGGCCGTTTAGTTAGAAAGAAGTTACCCCAGAACTAATTATCTCTAGAGTAGTTATCCTGCAATTAGTCATTTCACCTTTTCACGGGGATAAAAAAAACACTACAATCCCGGGATAACTAATCCCACAATTAATTATACTGCACTTTTCTACCAATCAAATATGGAATAAACTCTTCTTAAATTTAATCTCGAAATTAATTATTCCTTATCCCTCATCCCAAACGAGCCCTATGAGTTTAACTTTTAAAATTCTTAGTATTGAACTCATAATATTCTTAAAGTTATGGGTTAAAATCTAAATTTATTGCTATCTTAGTAAATTTTTGTACATAAATTTATGGTCCGTATCGAAAATTATTAGTTCAATTGAACCCGTTGCTATAGGGCTACATCCGCCCTGTACCAGGTTAACATGCAAGTGTCTCACATAATGAGATTAAGGGCATCTTTGTGACCTTTGTAACTAAAATTAATCCTCAAAGAAAAACAGAAATTGAAAATAAATAATAAAGAGGGAACAAATAAGGAAGAAAAAGCAACAAAACAATTAAGCAGCTAAACACAATTAACTTTCCAATAACAAATCTTCATAGATTCATACAATTGACTACCTTAGAGATATTAATTAGCAACATATATAGTGAAAATCCTGTAATTTTCCATCACTAATGAGATCATATGTTAACTAGTAAGTAAACAAATTAGAGCTCACTAATCACTAATATAAACCAACTGCTATTGGTCCTATTAAAGGACCTGTTATTCTAGTTAGCAGTTCCAGCTCCGTATCAAGATCACGATCGATGTTATCACTAATATACTCGAGGAAGTCTTTGTTATACTCTTGTACATGGTCGAATCTAATCTACCTTCTATATAACGGACTATTTTTTGCTTCTCCACTTTCCTTCATCTCGGCCCTTCCCACTCTACTGGTCCGACCAATTCAAATTCGTGTCGTGTAAGGTCCACCGGAGACAAAAGAGCTATATCATTTAGGGCTGCTGGTGGAGGACTGATCCAATGCTAGTATTTTATTTTGCTTTTCATTTGGCAGCTTAAATACACTAGGAAGAGTAGATTTCCAATTAACACCACAAGAAGTATTTCTTTTGTGCTTTGTAGCTGAATTAGCAGTTGCAGCTAATCTCATTTGCTCAATTAAGGCATTTGTATTCCCTTCCTCTGATAATATTTCCTCTAATTGCTGTGGATTGATAACTAGCTTCACTCTCCAAACACCTGTTAGCAAATACAAAATCAGAAAGTAAGAAAAAGGGTTTCAGGCGCAGTGGCGGAGACAGAATTTTTACTAAGAGGGTTGAAAAAAAAAGAAAAAATTAAAAACTTAAAAGAGATTGTGTCCGGTGGGAATTGAACTAGCAACCTTACAAAGGTTTTAAATAAAAATTAAAAAAAAAACAAGTTTTTTAATTAATGTATATATCATTCAAAAATTCAAGTTTTAAATGAAAATAGAAAAAAACCACGTTTTTAATTAATGTATATAGCATTCAAGTTTTAGACGTTTTTAATTAATGTATATTTTTAACTAAGTAAATAAAAATGTATTTATAATAGTTTAAACTTTTAGATAAGATTATCACACACTTTAGCAAAGTATCATAGCAGACAGTGATACTCGAGTTCAAGTCTCACAGCGTCCACTATCAAAAAAAAAAAAATATACTCATGAAAAAAAAAACTTGGCCACAAGTGAAAGGGGTGATGAAAACATAGGGCAGCCCGGTGCACTAAGCTCCCGCTATGCGCGGGTTGGGGGAAGGGCCTAGCCGCAAGGTTCCATTGTACACAACTTTACCTTGTATTTTTACAAGAGGATGTTTCCACGGCTCGAACCTGCGATCTCCTCACTAACATAGCAGTAACTTTACCAGTTACGCCAAAACTCCCCTTTAGCGCGAGTGAAAATACAATTAAGTAAATCAAAGTGACTATTTTGAACACTTCAAACTTTTATTAGACGAGATGGAAACACACTTCAAGAATATATGTTACAAACTATTCCTATCTAAAAATACCTTCTCGTGGAGCTGGCAAAACTTCCATAGCTGAACCTTTTGTCAAATTACTCGAAGAAACTCGAATTGGCTCTTTTTGTTCTGCTTCTGATATTCGTTCTTTTTCAATCACAGGGAGAAGATAGTAGAATTTTCCGTCGACGAGTAATTCTTGATCATGTAATGGACAAGACAAATGATTAGAACTAAAAATATTGTAACCTGGGAATTCATTTAGGACTTGTCGAACTAATTTTGGACCTTTAAGGTTTAATATTTCTCCAGAATCTGTCATAACACGAGCGAAATTAAAATCTAGTTTTCTTGCATCTGTTGTCACTGCTTTCATTGAACAGTTGCAGTTTCCCATTGATAAAAAAAGAGAATATTTTGCTCAATGAATGAAAAGAGAAATGGTGGGGTTTATTTGTAGTGTGTGAATTTGCGTGCATATATATATATATATATATATATATTACAAAAAGTTTTAATTTTGTGAAGTCACAATATACGTTTTTTGAATTTAAATAATATACATTAGGGTAAAGAATCTTTACATCATTCGGCCGTCTTTATTTGTTGTAGCAGATAACTTTTTTTTTTTTCAAGATCACAAATCTTATATTTTAAGAAGAATTATCTATAAATATTATTTGATTAACTATTTTTTTCTGTCCGTTCAAAAAAGAATGATCCTTTTCTAAATTTGAAAATAATTTAGCTTAAACTTTCAATTCTACATTTAAGGAGAAGCTTTTATAACCACACAAATATTTTGGATCCCTTTCTAACATGTTTAAGACCGCAAATTCCAATTTTTTTTATTTTTTCTTAAACTCTGTGTTCAGTCAAACTGATTCACGTATATTGGAACGGAGGGAGTAGTATACAATTATTTACACTAACATTACATATAACTTATACTCGATAATGTAGAAAACTATTTCTACTAATCGTTTACACAACAAAACCAAAATTTCTATAGCATTCTTGATGTAATAATCTGAAAAATAGAAAAAAAATAATCGGCTACAACGGTTAATTAAATATAAAGAGCAGTCCGGTGCACAAGGTATCCTGTACTCACGCAGGGATCAGAAAAAGACTGCATCCCAAAATGTGTGGATGTAGACAACTTACCCTAATGCAAGTATTAATGTCTGCTTCAACTGTTCGAACCTGTAACCTATATGTCACACAGAGATAATATAAAAATTCTGTATAGGGAGAGAGATAGAGGTTCCCTTTATAAATGTAAAGAGTAGTCTGATGTACAAGGTATTCCATATTCACACAGGGTCCGAAAAAAGGCTGCATCACACGATGCAGCGGGTGTGATGTAAACGACTTACCCTAATACAAGTATTAATAACTGATTTTACTGTTCGAACCTGTAACCAATAAGTCACACGAAAATAATATAAAAGTTCTTTAAACTGTCAATGTATCTTAAATCGATATTACAAAGACTCGTGACAGAAGAATCTTTAGCTAAATGCAAAAGGTCACGGATGGAGACGAGTGGGACGAGAGAGTAGGTGTACTAAGGATGCAGAAATTTATGGGAATTATTGGCTTTTTGAAAATTTGAATGCGAAACTTAAGTGATTAGACCGTTGGGATAATGATGCATTAATAATGGGTGAATTTTGTCATAGAGTGACAGTGAATTTAACTTTTATGCACGTGATAACATTTCAGGATGTCCACATATGTAGCATTTTGTTCAAGGAGGAGGAGTGAATCATCCTTATAAGAAGAACATCATGAAAAACAAAGTCAAAAAAGTAGTTGATTTTCTTTTGAGTAAAAAACAAATTCATGAACGGCTAAAGCAAACCATGAATCACTCACATGATCTCCCTTAGATAGAAAATGATCGTGGTAATAACTAATAAGCAATCAATTAAAAATTATTTAGGTCAATTATAGAGTTACATGCGATTTTTAGATAACACATAAACGATATATGGTAATAACTAATAAACAATCAATAAAAGATCACTTAGGCGATCATAAATAATACACGTCGATTTTTAGGTAACATATACGTGATATATGATTTTATCAGGATCTTCCACTTATAAAAAATAATCATGGTAATAATTAATTAACGATCAACCAGAGATCACTTAGGCGATCATAAATAATACATGAGTGGTATTTAGGTATCAAATAGACGATATATGATTACATCATGATCTCTTACTTTATAAAAAAATGATCATGGTAATAACTAATAATCGATCAACTGCAGATCACTTAGATGATCATAAATCACATGTGATGCCTAGATAACACATACGATCTATGAGATCACCGGTGTCTTCCATTTTATAAAAACCTGGTAATAACTAATAAGCGATCTACCCAAAAATGATCTTGGTAATACCTAATAAGCGATCAGGAGATCACTTAGGTAATCATAAATAATACACGAGCGAAATTTAGATGCACACAGACAATCTATGAATTCACCAGTATCTCCTACTTTATAAAAAATGAAGAATAATAACAACTAATAGACGATCAAGCGAAAATCACTTAGGCAATCATAGATATTACATGCGCGATCTCTTAATAACAACGAAATTCCAAATTTATGGTCATAAAGGGCCAAATATGAGGAACGGTCATGGCGAAACGATGATTATTATATCTTAGATCATTTTTTATAGGCCGAAATTTTTTTAGGCAATTCGGGATCGGTTGTCCGGATGCATATAGATTACGTGGGTTATAACACACAAAAATCTGAGAATCGGATGGTATTTTAGTTTTATGGCCCTAAAACACCAAAATACGAGGAACGGTCATGGCGAAATAATGTTTATTGTTCTTTAAGTTGTTTTTGATGGGCCAGAAATTTTTAGGCGAATCCGGTCTGGTCGCCCATACGTATACAGATGGCATGAGCTATAACATATAAAATCCGAAAATCGGGCAAAATTCCAGTTTTATGGCCCTAAAATACCAAAATATGAGGAGCGGTCATGGAGAAGTGATGACTAAATTTCCTTAGGTCATTTTGATGGACCGAATTTTTTTTAGGGGATTCGGGACCGGCCTCCCGGATGTATGAAGATAAGGTGGGGTATAGCATACAAAAATCTGAAAATCGGACGGAATTCTAATTTTTATAGCCCTAAAACGCAAAAAAGAGGAACGGTCATAGCGAAACAATGACTATTGTTCCTTAGATCATTTTTATGGGCATGTAAAATTCTAAGGGATTCGGGTCCGGTCACCTGGATGTATGCAGATGTCGTGGGCTATAACACACGAATATTTGGGAATTGGGCGAAATTCTAATTGTTTGGCCCTAAAACGCTAAAAATAAAGAACGGTCATGGCGAAGCGATGAGTATTGTTTCTTAGGTCATTTTTTATGGGCCGGTAAAATTTTAGGCTATTCGGGTCCAGTCGCCCGGATGCATGCAAATGGTGTGGACTATATAACACACAAAAATTTGAGAATCGGATGAAATTTATTTTTTGTCCTAAAATGCCAAAAACAAGGAACGATCATGGCAAAACAATGACTATTATTCCTTGGGTCGTTTTTTATGGGCCGACAAAAGTTTAGGTAATTCGGGTTCAGTTTCCTGGATACATGCAAATGTGGTGGGCTATAGCATACAAACATCTGAGAATCAGACCGAATTATAATTTTATGACCCTAAAATACCAAAAATGAGGAACAATCATAGTGAAGTAGTGACTATTGTTCCTTAGGTCATTTTTTAAGGATCGGCAAAAATATAAGTGATTCGGGTCCGACTGCCCCAGCTCTTGTAGAAGGCGTGGGCTATAGCACATGAAAATCTAAGAATCAAACGAAATTCTAGTTTTATGGCCCTAAATCGCCAAAGACGGTCATGGCGAGGCGATAACTATTATTCCTTAGGTCATATTTGACAGTCGAAAATAATTTTAATCCGGCCACCCGGGCCCATGCAGAAGGCGTGGGCCATAGCACACAAAAATCTCGAAATTGGGCAGAATTTCAGTTTTATGGCTCTAAAATGCAAAAAACAAGAAACGGTCATAGCGAGGTGGTTACAATTGTTCCTTAGGTCATTTTTGATGGTCCGGCAAATCTTTAGGCGATCCGGATCCGGCCGTTCAGGCTCATACAAAAGGTGTGAGTAATAACACACAAAAATTTGGAAATCGGGCGGAATTCCAGTTTTATAACCCTAGAGCGCTAAAAAATGAGGAACGGTCATGGTGAGGCGGCGACTATTGTTCCTTAGGTCATTTTTGATGGTTCCAAAAAATTTCAAGAGATCTGGGTCTGGCCGCTCGGGCCCATACAAAAGGCGTAGAATATATAGCATATGAAAAATTGGGAATCAGGCGAAATTCTAGTTATATGGCCCTAAAACGCCAAAAAACGAGTAGAGATCATGGAGAGGCAGTGAATATTATTATTTAGGTAGTTTTTTAAGGTTTAACAAAATTTAAGGTGATTCGGGTCCAGCCATCCAGGCCCATACAGAAGGTGTGGGCTATAACACACGAAAATCTAGGAATCGAGCAAAATTCTATTTTATGAACCTAACACGCAAAAAACGATGAACGGTCATGGCGAGGCGGTGACTAATGTTCTATAGATCATTTTTTATGGTCCAGCAAAATTTTAGGTAATCTAGGTCCGGTCACCCGGACCTATGTAGAAGGCGTGGGTTATATCATATGAAAATCTGGAAATCAGACAGAATTCTATCTTTACAGCCCTAAAATGCCAAAAACGAGGAATAATCATGGCGAGGCAGTGACTATTGCTCCTTAGGTCATTTTTGATGGTCCGACAAATTTTAATCGATCCGGGCTCGGCCTCTTGGGCCCATACATGAGGCGTGGGCTACAACACACGAAAATCTAAGAATCGGGTGAAATTCCAGTTTTATGACCCTAAATCGCCAGAAAAATAAGGAAAGATAATGGAGAGACAACGACTGTTGTTCCTTAGAATATTTTTTATGGTTCATCAAAATTTTACGCTATTCGTATGCGGCCGCCCGGACCCATACATAAGGCGTGGTTTATGGCACATAAAAAACTAGGAATCAAGCGGAATTCAAATTTTATGGTCCTAAAACGCCAAAAAAATGAGTAATGGTCATGACAAGATGGTGAATATTTTTCGTAGGTAATTTTTGATGGTTCAGTAAAATTTTAGGCGATCCGGGATCGTTCACTCGGTACCATGCAGTAGGCACGGGCTATAGCACATGAAAATATGGGAATCAGATAGAATTCTAGTTTTATGGCCCTAAAACGCCAAAAATAAGGAACGTTCATGGTGAGGTGGTGTCAATTATTTTTAGTCATTTTTGATGATCTGGCAAAATTTTAGACGATCCGGGTTCGGCCACCCGAGCCCATATAGAAGACGTGGACTATAGTATATGAAAA